ATATTAATTTTTTAATATATTAAATATTTTAATATATGGGTGTTCAAAATAAAGCGTTACAAATTTTTATCTCGGAAACACGGCATTATTGAGAAAAATTGTTCAGATAAAAGTTATAAGTTTCGAAAAAAAAAATCTATTTATTGATCTTATTAGTTTGACTTGGATGGCATCGCCAAGATCACATCGATTTTTTAAAATGAAATCTATTTTATTTGTGATTCCAGAATTTAATAGCCAATGTCGAGAGCTTTCCAAAATACTATAATAGAGTTATTTTTTGAGTACTTTTTTACGATGCTTGAAAATTATTAAAGTATCACCGACGTTAGCACCTAAGGTGTTTGACCGACGGCTAAAATCTCTTAAATGTTGTTCAGGATCATGTCCTGGATATCATTTGTCAAGATCAAAGTCATTGGAGATTATTCCTCTTATTTTCATTTTTGCACTAAAAATTCATTTTTACAACAAAACAATTCAAATATTAACGACCAAATATACGAGTAATACAAGATATTTTATTAAAATCTTAAAATTAATTTAACATATCATTAAAAAGAATATAACAATAGACGTTGTGACTCAGAGTCTTCCTCAATAAATAAAATAAACTATCCTATCTATTTCATTTAACAATATTGCAAATCGAGAATAATTTTTCAAGGGATGAAATAGAGAATATCCTTACAAAATTTAACACATGTTATCAAAGACTTAAATTTACAATTGAGATTGAGGAAAACCGTTGTCTCAATTTTTTGGACATCTCATTAATAAAATCTACAAATAAAATTATTATAAATTAGTTGCATGAAGATACTTTTTCTGGACGTTTCATATTTTTCGAATCATCCACAATGCCAAAAAGTAGAAACTATTTATAGTTTAATTGATCATGCTATTTTATTATCCCATCCATCCTTTTAGGATAGATAATTAAAAGGGGAGGATAATATTAAAAAATGCATAAATTTGTTGATGGACAATGGTGTCTCATTTTGACACGATTAATAAAAGGATAACAAATTTTTCTGTTAATAAATCTAAATTTTTTAATTATGATAAAAAAACAGATGATTGAATTGTAATATCATAAAAAAAGATCTTATAATAATTCTTTATATTAAAGAATTTTCAGATTCAATTACATCGTTATTTAATAAATTAACAACTACTTTCGGATTTAGATCGATAAATAATTTAAACAAAATTAAATAATAAAGTACACAAAAATATTACGGAATCATTTCGAAAAAATCACGTAGTTTATAAAATTAATTGTAAGAACTGATGCATCATACAGGACAATCAAAAAGACAACTGCAAACAAGAGTTAAGGAATATATGAATAATATAAAATTGGATTCATCGAAACATTCAGTAATATCAGAACATATATTAGAACATAATCATTTTTTCGATTGGGAGAACATAAAAATTTTAAATATTGAATATAACTACTACAAAAGATTAATAATAGAAATGATTTATATTAAAGAACAAAAAAACGGTACTAATTGCATTAAAGATACTGAGTTGATCAATGCCTCATATTTTGATATCTTAAAGGAAATTAAAAGATTGTTTTAATGAATGAAATGCAATTCTAATAGAAATAATAAACAGAATACTTTGTGTTTCTCCCACCAATCATTATCGAATATGTATCTATATATTCTCGAAAGCGATAAATAATTTTCACTCTTGTCACTTTTATAACTAAAAAAAGCGTTATTATATATTGAAAATCTAGAAGAAATCGTATTACATCATTAATGTAAGTTTTTGTTTTTTATAAATTTTTGTAGTCAAAATTCCTAATAATTTTAAATTTAATTTGATTTAGACAAGTAATCTTGACATTAGTCTTACACTATCGGACTAAATGAAATTCTCGTCATCAAACGAGAATTAGGTTTTGTAACTTTTAATTATGGGTATTTAAGAATTGACCTGATTCACCATCAATAATCATCAATTGACATGAAAAAATTATTCCCGATTTGCAATATTGTTAAACGAAATATAGGTTTATTTTATTATGTTGAGAAAGACTTTGTGAGTCAAAACATTTATTGTTATATTCTTTTTAATGGTATGTTAAATTAATTTTGAGATTTTAATAAAACATCTTGTATTGCTCGTATACTTGAATTGTTTTGTTGTGTAAATTTCGAGCGTTTTTATATCATTGTATTATTTATTTTTACGTTGTGTAATTAAATATATCTTTCAGAATTACGTGGATTATTATACATTGCATAATTATATCTTTTCTAGTGAGCATGGTTCATATTTCTTATCAAGAATTTGTGTCAGCACCTTTAGTAACTTCCAGGAATGCAAATGATATTAAAACGTCTCATTTATTTTTTCCAAGTATATAAAGATTAAGATATTTCTTCAACTTGTATGTGTACATGCAATTTATTTATGAAGATTTATTTGATTTTTGATATAGTATAGTATATTAATATATATATT